CAATCCTCTTTCTAGATTAATAAGAAGCAGAAAAGAAAGGACTCTAATAAGCTCCATCAGGGATGAAAAAGGAGAAATTACAACTGATACCACAGAAATACAAACTATCACCTATGAATATTATGAAATCCTTTATACACATAAACTTAAAAACATGGAGGAAATGGAAAAATTGTTAGAAACACATAGCCTCCCTAGGCTCAATGAGGAAGAAATAGAATTCCCAAATAGACCAATATCAAGTACCAAAATTGAAGCAGCAATAGAAACCTTCCTAAAAATAAAAGTGCTGGACCAGATGGTTTCACACCTGAATTTTACTAGACCTATAAAGAAGAATTGGTGCCTATGCAGGAGAAATTATTCCACAACATTGAGAAGGAAGGAATCCTCTTCAACACATTTTATGAAGCCAACATCACACTGATACCAAAACCTGGAAAGAACGCAACAAAAAAAGAAAACTATAGACCAATATTCCTTATGAATATAGATGCAAAAATTCTCAGAAAAACCCTAACAAACCAAATTCAGTTGCTTATCAAAAAAATAATCCATCAAGACCAAGTGGGCTTCATCTCAGAGTTGCAGATATAGTTCAACATATGCAAATCTATAAATGTAATTCACCACATAAATAGAAGCAAAAACAAAGATCAAATGATCCTGTCAATGGATGCAGAGAAAGCATTCAACAAAATTCAGCATATAATATGAATGTTTAACAAAATAGGCATAGACAGGACTTACATAAAAATGATAAAAGCCATATATGATAAACCCACAGCCAACATCATACTGAATGGGAAAAATATGAAAGCATTCCCACTTAGAATTGGAACCAGACAAGTTTGTCCTCTGTCACCACTTCTATTCAACATAGTGCTGGAAGTCCTATCCAGAGCAATCGACAAGAAAAAAAAAAATCAAGGGCATCCAAATGGGGGCAGAAGAGCTCAAACTATTGCTCTTTTCTGATGATGCGATTTTATATTTGGAAAACACCAAAGATTTTGCCATGAGACTACTGGAATTGTTAAACAAATTCAGCAAAGTCTCAGGTTACAAAATCAATGTACAGAAATCAGTAACATTCCTATATGCCAACAATAGTCAAACTGAGAACCAAATCAGAGACTCAATACCCTTCACAATAGCAACAAAGAAAATAAAATACCAAGCCATATATTTAACTAAGGAGGTGAAAGACCTCTATACAGAGAACTATGAAACACTGAGGATGGAAATAGCAGAGGATGTAATCAGGTGGAGAACCATATCGAACTCATAGGTCAGCAGAATGAACATTGTTAAAATACCTATGCTACCCAAAGTGAACTATAGATCCAATGTAATCCCTATTAAAATACCAGCATCATTTTTTGCAGATCTAGAAAAAATAATTCTATGTCTTACTTGGAACCAGAGAAGAAGCCCCATATAGCAAAAGCAATCTTAAGCAAAAAGAACAAATTGGGAGGCCTTAATTTATCAGTCTTCAAGTTATATTACAATGTTATAGTAACTAAAACAGCATGGGACTGGCACAAGAACAGGCACATAGATCGATGGAACACAACTGAGAACCCAGATATAAAACCATCCTCATATAGCCATCTAATCTTTGACAAAGCAGACAAAAACATACATTGGGGAAAAGAATCCTTAATTAATAAATGGTGCTGGGAAAATTGCATAGCCACATGTAGAAGACTGAAACAGGGTGTGCACCTTTCACCTTTCACCTCACAAAAATCAACTGATACTGTGGTGATTGCCTTGGGGGTCTTCCTCAAGAATTCTTTGGTCAATGTTTTTGGTCAATGAATTTCTTAGGTCAATGTCTGATAGGGTTTTCCCAAAATCTTCTTCTAGAATTCTTAAGGTTTCATGTCTTAGGTTTAAATCTGTTATCCATCTTGAGTGAATTTTTGTGAGAGGTGAGAGGTAGGGATCCTGTTTCAATCTTCTGCATGTAGCTATCCAGTTTTCCCAGCACCATTTATTGAAGAGAGATTCTTTTCCCTATTGTATATTTTTGTCTACTTATCAAAGATTAGGTTACCGTATGCTGATGGTTTCATCTCTGATATCTGAGTTCTATTCCAAATATCCATGCTTCTGTTCTTGTGCCAGTACCAGGCTGATGTAACTATTATTGCTTTATAGTACAGCTTGAATTCAGGAAGACTGATGCCTCCCAGTTTGTTCTTTTTACTTAAGATTGCTTTGGCAATTCTATACGAGAATTTTCTGGTTCCATACAAAGTGAAGAATTATTTTTTCTAGATCTGTAAAGAATGATGGTGGTACTTTGATGGAGATTGCATTAATTCCATAGATCACTTTAGGTAATATTGACATTTTAACAATATTTATTCTACCAATCCATGAACAAGGTAGATTTTTCCATCTGTTTACATCTTCTACAATTTCTCTTTTTAGTGTTTTGTAGTTCTCCTTGTATAAATCTTTCATATCTTTCATTTAAAATAAACAAATGGGATCAGATCAAATTAAAAAGCTTCTGCACAGCCAAGAAAACTATCATTAGAACAAATAGACAACCCACAGAATGGGAGAAAATATTTGCTTTCTACACTTCTGATAAAGATCTAACAACAAGAATCTATCTAGAACTCAAAAGAATTAACAATAAAAATCAAACAACTCCATCAAGAAATGGGCAAAGGAAATGAACAGAAACTTCTCCAAAGAAGACAGAATAATGGCCAGCAAACATATAACAAAATGCTCAACATCTCTAATCATTAAAGAAATGCAAATCAAAACCACAATGAGATACCACCTAACCCCAGTGAGAATGGCCCGTATCCAGAAACCCCAAAACAACAAATGCTGGTGAGGATGTGGAGAGACAGGAACACTCTTACACTGCTGGTGGGACTGCAAATTAGTGCAACTTTTGTGGAAAAGAATTTGGAGATACCTCAAACAGCTAAAAATAGAAATACCATTCCACCCAGCAATAGCATTGTTAGGCATCTACCCAAAAGAGCATAAGACATTGTATTATAAAGACATCTGCACTCGAATGTTTTTGGCACCACAATTCCCTATTGCAAGAACATGGAAACAACCTAAGTGCCTGTCAATTCATGAGTGGATAATTAAAATGTGGTATATGTTCACAATGGAATATTACTCAATTCTAAGAAACAACAGCGAGCTAGCACTGCTTATACTATCCTGGATTAAGCTTTAGCCCATTACCCAAAGTAAGGTGACACAAGATCAGGAAAATGGGCTCCACATGTATTCGCCATCAAATTGGTACTGACTGATAAAAACTAATGTGCTCAAATGGTGGTAGTGTTCATCAGGGATTCCATGGAGGGGGAGACCCACATCTTAGGGATGTGGTGAGCATTGTGGAGGGGAAGGGCATACCTCTAACCCTTCCTAGGGAGAGGCAAAGATATACAATGTAACCAAAGTGTCAAAAACCCCCACATTTATCCAGTGTTGGGAGGGGGGTGGGAGAAGGGAGGAGGGGATGAGTGTATACTTACATAATGAGTGTGATGAGCACCATCTGGGGGATGGACCCGCTAAAAGCTTTGACTCACGCTGGGGGGAAGTGAGGGAGTAGGGGGAGGGGTGGAAAGGACAATATATGTAACCTTAACAATATTTGTACCCCCATAATATGATGAAATAAAAAATAAATTAAAACAAATCAACTGATGGTGGATAACTGACTTAAACCTACGCCATGAAACTGAAATAGTTCTAGAAGAAAATGTTGTAAAAACTCTTACAGATATCAGCCTAAGGAAAGAATTTATTAAGAGGACCTCAAAGGCAACCACAGTGACAAAATAAATAAAGAAATGGGACCTGATCAAATTAGAAAGTTTCTGCACAGCCACAGAAACTATCATGAGAGCAAACAGACAAACTACTGAATGGGAGAAAATATTTGCATGCTATACATCTGATAAAGCACTAATAACTAGATGTATATAGAACTCAAGAAAATAAGCAAGAAAAAAACAACCCCATTAAAAAGTGGTCAAAGAACATGAACAGAAACTTTTCAAAAGAAGACAGACTAATGGCCAAGAAATATATGAAAAAATGCACAACATCTCTAATTATCAGGGAAATGCAAATCAAAACCACAGTGAGATATCGCTTAACTCCAGGGATCATGGCTTTTATCAAAAAGTCCCAAAACAATAAATATTGGCATGGGACAAAGTCAATACATGTCACCTAAAAATTTTTACCCCCTTAATATGCTAAAATAAAAAAATAAAAATTAAAAATAAAATTAATGAGGACAAAAAAGAAAATAATTAAAACATGGAAAAATGATCATTTCTGTATCATATCTATGAAATTTTAAAATTTAATTTTAATTTTTAATTTAAGTTACTTTAAAATTTTAACTATGAAGTTATTTTTAAAATAATTGAAATATTATTTAATTCACATGCATCCAGATGACAGAAATGTACACAGCCAGTAAAATAGTGTATCAAGTGTACGTAAGGAAACAAAGATGTTGAAGGTAATGTATATGCCTAATCCAATACTAATTTTCCTTAAAATATTATACAGTCATATGAAAATATACCACAAATTGGTTTTTAAATTCCTAATAGTGTTTTTCTGAGTGTTAATATTCTATATGTTTTCTGTTTAGTTCTCTCTGATTTCTATAGGTTGCAAATTTTTATTAATATATCTTTCTAATTGCAAAAATATGATATTGATATTTTTTCAATGAGACATTTCACTTTTAGAAATTATCTTTATCTTTATCTGAAGTAAAAAAATCTCAAAGAAAATTTTAATGTGGAATGTATGAAAATATTAATACTTCTGACACCTTTATTTACTGGACATATTTATTGGACTTCCAAAATTAGTTTTGCATGTTCTATTTCCCTCAAAAAAGTTATTTTGGATAGTGAGTAGGGCAAAGGTGAGATGGAGTATTGTAAGTCCCAAAGTCATCCCTCAGAACTCACCAAAAGTACTGGTGAGAAAACAGGAATTCAGGAGCAGGATGTAAATTACCACAGTAGACAAAAGATTCTGATGACAGCAGCTTCTTCCAAAATCTGGAGAAATGAAATATAATGAGTTCAAATTTAGTATCTTTCTGAGAATTTTTATATGACCTTAATGATTTAAACCCATAATAAGATAGAAGCAGTAAAAATAATATTCTGCCACCCGTCAAATATATTGTACTAAAAGTCTGTATTCCTCCAAAATGTCACAGCATTAGATCCTGTTTGTGATGCAAAGCCACCAAATGGTTTGTATTGGGGCACATATTTTAGGATGTGATGTTGAAAGTTTGCATTCTATGTCTAAATGTATTTCAAAACTGTTTGGAGTGCTTTGATTAGCATTTTGGGTCTAATTCTTTTTACTTCTCAACTCTTCGATCTACCTTCTCTTCAGTTTTATTACTATGTTATTCCTCCTAACATTATCACCCCATTTTGCTCATTCATTTTCTCATTCATTGATTATGAGATATGTACCAGATCTAGTGCTTCGATATAGGAATAGAGGAATGAATAAGTGTTCTTCTTTGCCTTCTACTGAGTGGTTTGTGACTGGAATGTACAAGCTAATCAAACTGGTAGTTGGCTTCAATAACTGCTGATTGAGCTCATGATATTTACCAAAACTATCCACTTTTTTTCCAGTCTTAACATTTTACCTACAGGATCTTGCCACCTTTTCCCTCTTCTCCCTGACTTACTAGTCTATTCTCAGTTCTGCAGCTAGTCAAGCTTATACTACATCTGGGAGAGAAGAATGAGTTGAGATAGAAACAAAGTATAAGCAAAAGAGTTGAGAATTTATTCTGAGAGTAATTTGGGGGCTTTAAAAAATGTAATCAGAACATGATAAATACAACGTATATTTTAGAAAGTTTATTTTAAAGGCAGATGGGAAGATTAATCCATAGTAATTTACAGGGATAAATGTAGAGGGAATGTTTTAAAATAATATTTATTATGTTTACTTGAAGGATATAGAAAATCTATAATTGATAGAAAACTATCTTCTTTCTTTCTTTTCTTTCTTTCTTTCTTTCTTTCTTTCTTTCTTTCTTTCTTTCTTTCTTTCTTTCTTTCTTTCTTTCTTTCTTTCTTTCTTTCTTTCTTTCGACAGGGTCTTGCTCTGTTGCCCTGGGTAGAGTGTAGTGGCATCACTGTAGCTCACTACAACCTTAAACTCCTGGACTCGAGTGATCCTCTTGCCTCAGCCTCCTATGTAGCTGGAACTACAGGTGTGCACTACTACACACTGCTAATTTTTTCTATTTTTGGTAGAGAGAAGCTATATAGCTATTAAGAAGAGAAGCTATAGCTATTAAGGTATAATTGCCAGAACTTGTGACCCTCTATCTAATACCATCTCACAAAATTCAAGGACTTCATCTTTCTTGTTCTATTTCTAATTATACACATGGCAGGCAGTGTGTTAAAGTTAAATAAACAGGGGCCAAGATAGTGGACTTGAAGCAGCCTGTACACACTACTCTCAGGGAGGGGATCAAAAATGGCAAGTAGATATTCATCATCAGATAGATTGTCTAAGAGAGAGCATTGGGAATCAACAGAGAGATAATGGGAGGCTCCCACAGTGAAGGAGAAGGAAGATGGTGACCCACTCAGCAGGATCAGAGGTACACAGGGAAGGCACCAACATGTGGGGAAGGGACAGAGGAGAACCACAGGGCTCCACACTTCCCCCATGGACATTGCAATTGGAGCTGCAGGAGGGCTCCCTCCATTGTAGCACGCTGTTGGACTGACATAGGGAGCTGACGAGACTGTGCAATGGCATTGCTTTAGAGAGAAGGCACAGTGGGGTCTTGCTGGTTTATGAACCCTGAGGGCTGTGGATGGTGCCATTTTGAAGTCCTAGCCCCAGAGAGCTGCATCTACCAAAGGGTCAGATCTGTAGCTGCTGCTATATTGGGGAGGATGCCAGGCACTCTTGTGCACCTTTTGGGTGGGTGCTGCAACCCCCACTGCTGTTGGACAACCCAGGCAGAGTGGAAAGCCATGGACTTGGAGCCCACTGCCACCATCTGGGTGGCTCCACCCAGCCACAGCTGTGGTTGGACCTGGACAGAGAGAATTTCCACAGCCCCAGGCACCCACTTCTGTTTTCTGGGTGGCACAGCCACTGTCACAATAGCCTGGGTAATAGTGCCACTGATGGACCTGGATAAGGTAAATGCTCATGCCCTGCATGCCCATGGCCCATGACAACCACAAGGGAACAGGGAGACACAGGAGAGCAGCAGTGTTAATTAAAGGCCCACAATGCATCTACCCCTTTCCTGTATGGTCAATTTTATGGAATAGGACTCAAGCATGTAATCCAGGAACCTCTCCTTCTCTTCACTGGGCAATAGAAATTCACAGCAGAGAACAGGTGTACCACAAGCTATCTGTCTTGAGCTGAGAAAGAGGTTTCAGATGAGAATGAGCAGAGGTTTCAGATGAGAATCAGAATAAGAATTGTGACAATATGAAAAACCAGGCTGGCTTGATACATACACCCCAAAGGATTACAATAGCTCTTCAGCAATGGATTCCCACCAAAAAGGAAATTGTTAAAATGTCAGATATGGAATTCAGAATATGGATGCTAAGTAAGATCAATGGGATTGATGACAAAGTTAAAAACCAAAACAAAGAACCACCCCCCCAAATTCAGGTCATAAATGAAAAATTCACTAAAAAGGTGGAGCTAGATAATATAAGAATAATATAACAGAACTTCTGGAAATGAAAAGAATCATTTAGGGAATTTCAAAATGCAGTAGAAAGTTTTAAAAACAGGCTAGACCAATCAGAAGAAAGAATTTCAGAGGTTTTGAATTGATCCAGTCAATCAGAAATGTGGAAAAAAGAATAAAGAAAAATGAATAATCTCTCTGATAAATATGGTACTATGTAAGCAAATGAATATGGAATCACAAGTATCTCTGAGAGAGAAGAAGCAAAAGAAAAAAGCATGAAAAAATCTATTTGAGGGAATAATTGAGGAACACTTCCCTGGTATTGTCAGAGATTTAGACATCCAGTTACAAGGTCATTGAACACCTAGAAGATTTATAGTAAATAGGACATCACCAATGCACACAGTCATCAGTCTAGCCAAAGTCAAAGTGAAGGAGAAAATCTTACAAGCTGCAAGATGAAAGCATCAGATAACTTACAAAGGAAAATTCATCAGAATAATGGCAGACTTCTCAACAGAAACCTTACAAACCAGAAGGGATTAGGTCTCCATTTTTAGTCTCCTTAAACAGATTACAGCCAAGAATTTTGTATCCTGAAAAAGGAAGTTTTATAAATGAAGGAGAAATAAGGTCTTTTCCAGGCAAGCAAACACTAAGGAAATTTGTCACCACTAGACCTACCCTACAAGATATGCTTAAAAGTGCTCTGCACATGGAACACAACAATCACTACCCACCAGTATAAAAACACCTGAAAGTTAAAAGTCACAGCTCTTATAAAACAGTAACAAGAGGGAGAAAACAAAGCAACTAGATAGCATTCAACACGATGAACTGAACAGTATCTCACATATCAATACTAACATTGAATGTAAATGGTCTTAGGGGTGGGCGTGGTGGCTCATGCCTGTAATCCTAGCACTCTGGGAGGCCGAGGCAGGAGGATTGTTTGAGCTCAGGAGTTCAAGACCAGCCTGAGCAAGAGTGAGACTCCCATCTCTATTTAAAAAAATAGAAAGAAATTAGCTGGACAACTAAAAATGTATAGAAAAAATTATCCAGGCATAGTGGCACATACCTATAGTCCTAGCTACTCAGGAGGCTGAAGCAGAAGGATCACTTGAGCCCAGGAGTTTGAGGTGGCTGTGAGCTAGGCTGACATCATGGCTCTCTAGCCCAGGCAACAGAGTGAGACTCTGTCTCAAAAAAAAAAAAATGTAAATGGTCTTAATGCTGCACTTAAAAGATATAGATTGGCTGAATGGATAAAAAACACAACCCAAATATATACTATCTCTAAGAAATCCATTTAAATCACAAGGATTCTCATAGACTCAAGGTAAAGGGTTGAAAAACATATTCCACACAAATGGAAAACAAAACATAGCAGTAGTTGTTGCTCTTATATCAGATAAAATAGACTTTAAATCAACAATGGTAAAAAAAGATGAAGACAGACATTATATAATAACAAAGGGAGCAATTCAACAGGAAGATATAACAATCCTAAATATATATACCTAACACAGTTCCCAGATTCATAAAACGAATCCTACTAGATCTAAGCAAGGAAATCAACAACAACATCACGATAGCCAGGGACTTTAATACTGCACTGGCAGACCTGGACAGATTATCAAGACAGAAAATCAACAAAGAACCACTGAATTTAAATGGAATTCTAGAACAAATGGACCTAACAGACATTTATAAAGCATTGTATCCCCAAACTGAAGAATATACATTATTCTTATCAGCACATGGGACATTTTCCAAGATAGATTATATGTTAGGTCACAAAACAAACCTCAGAAATTTCAGAAAAATTAAATTCATACCATGTATCTTCTTATACTATAGTGGAATAAATCTAGAAATCAACTCCAAGAGGAACTCTCAAAACTATAAAAATGCATCAAAATTAAAAAACCTGCTACTGAATAAACAATCCTTTGGTCAATAATGAAACCAAGATGGAAATCAAGAGATTTTTGAATTGAACAACAAAGATAGCAGAAGCTCCCAAAATCTCTGGGATACAGTAAAAGTAGTGCTAAGATGGAAGGCCATAAAATGTAAATAAGATTATTCTTTAAGTATCATACATGAATTAAGAATTCACACTGGAATTCATTAAGTTGAGTCTTGCTAGATAGGAGGCAGCCTTGCCCTTCACCATTCCATATTTCCACTAAACATCCATGAAACATAAGCGGAAAGATCACTATTAGTTTCAGATATGCTCTGTAATATTTCTTGGCCATATTTTCCTTTCTACATCCTTACTCTTTAGCGTCCATTAAAGACTTGTTCTTTGTGTTTTTTTTTTATTTCAGTATAATATGGGGGTACAAATGTTAAGGTTACATACATTGCTATTGCCTTCCCTCCCCCCTCAAGTCAGAGATTCAAGCATGTCCACCCCCCTGACAATGCACATTGCACTTATAATGTATATATATAAACCCATCCCCTTCCCCCCCACCTGCCTGACACAATCTTTGTTTTTTTTTTTTTTAATCATAATGTCTTTTTATTTCTATCTTTTACTAAAACGTATAGCAAGAAGATCAAAGGCTTGGATATAGTTGGTCCTGGATTTAAAGTACACTTTGAAACCTACTATATGACCTTACATAAATCAGTTAGCCCCTATAAATGGTCATTTGCCATCTATCAATGGGTTTAATAATATCTATATCACAAATTACTTGTGTGAATTAAATTGAAATGATGTAAAGCATTTACTGTAGTACCTGGAATTTGGCAACAATAAATATGAGTTTCTCATTTATACCTGCTTTTCCTTTCTACAACTTCATATCCTCATGTTAATTCTAATCTCTAGACTTTATCACACATTTTTTGTTGACTTTATTAACAATTTTTCCCTTTCTTGGATTTCAATTTTGCTTCCAATATTGCTACTACTCTAAGCTCCATGAAACTTTCAATATTTTTAACATTTTTCATGTACTATTTTTATACTTACTGCATAATATTTATGTCTTTCTGTTGTTATATATACTCCTACCAACCCACCATCTCCCAAATGGCAGAGCAAAATAAAAGCAAACCCTTACCAATATGCCAAGAGTTTTGAGGCAGCATCATTATGGTACTATTTCTTCCTGAGTCCTAAGATTTAATTCCTGGGTCCTCTTATATATGCTCCAGAAGCATACTCATGTGTGAAAACAGATCTGTATTTTAGAAAAGAGAAGACTGTAAAATTCAGTTCATGATACTGAAAAGGAGAACTCATTATAAAAGCTGAGATTGTTTTTTTGCTGGCTACTTCCTCATCACGTTAGGATATGGATAATGAAGGAAGTTAAAGAATTGCCTAGAAGATCCCACAGAATAAAGGGAACTGTACCCTAAAACTGCTACCCTGAAATTCCAAATAGTTTCATGCCTCACATTTAAAAGTTTTTGTTATATAAATGTGATCTAGTAAAAATAATTATATAGATCTTTATCTAAAATATAAACTATGTCACCAAATTCATTTACTTTACCATCCACATTTCAACCAGCTTATGTCAAAGGGATCAGAAGGAAGTTACTTTTTCTCAGAACTGAATTTTCTATGAAAGTTTTGTTAATGTCAAGATGGGCACACAGTTTTCTTTTCTCTCTGCATCTATGCCAGCATCTTTTGTTTGGGACTTTTTGATAAAAGCCATTCTCACTGGGGTTAGGTGATATCTCACTGTGATTTTGATTTATAATTCCTTGATATTAGAGATGTTGAGCATTTTTTCCATACATTTATTGGCCATTAGTCTATCTTCTTTTGAAAAGCTTCTGTTCATGTCTTTTGCCCATGTTTTAATGGGGATGTTTGATTTTTTCCTGCTGATTTGCTTGAGTTCTTTGTAGATTTTGATTATTAGCATTTTATTAGATGTATAGCATGTGCATATTTTCACCCATTCTGTAGGTTGTCTGTTTGCTGTGTTGATTGTTTCCTTGGCTGCAAAAAAAAAAAAAAAAAAAAAAGATGGACACAAGTAAACACATTTGGACATATGGACATATTCTATATCTATGAAAATGTTTAACAAAATTGAGTCCTTTGAAACTCAGTTTTCTAATGTAATTGATAATGTGAAAGAAAATAAGGCTTAGTCATCAAATTAGTTTGGAAAATATTGATTTAAATGATTTAAAACATTTTGTGGAAATCCAGAAGTGGCCTCTCAGCTCACAGTGATTATTCTTTGTTCTGATGGACCTATATGCCTATCCTGCTTCTTTGGGGAAATAGCTTTTACCATTCCATGTTTGATATGGAGGATTATATCATCTTATAAGTCCCTGTCATCCTGATTACATGTTCACATACAAAGAAAAGCCAATGACCCCAAATGACTCCATAAGAATGATTTCTAGAATTTTTCATGCCATACCTCCATATGGAGTAGTCTGATTAATGAAAATGAAGCATACAGAAATTAAAATGAGTTGTAAGAAAATAAAGACTTTAGATAAATTAGCCCTTATAAATATCCATTGCTAAATTCAAGAACTTTGTCCTTTTTGTCCCTTTTTAACCTAGATATATGGCAAATGTTTATATAACAAAAGCTAGATGAAATTAGGCTGCAATTAATACCAAATGTATTATGAAGCCTAATGAAATCTCAAATCTTGCTAGATATGAGCTAGCTGTGCCTTTGAAATGATAAAGTGACTTTCTCAAAAGGTGTTCTCTTTTTCTCTTCTTGGACCTGAGATAGGTGCCCAAAGTCAGAAGTCAGAAGGAATAGATAAAATTTTTTTCTAGGAAAACTTGAGATAAAACAAATAATTGGTGAAATATAATTTACTATCTAGGACAGATCATATGATGGAGGGAAGAGAGGAATAAAATAAATACTGAAACTTCATCTAGTATTTAATTTCTCAGCCACAGTTTCCTGAAATTTTCAAAATACAGTATGACTGGAAACATTTTGTGCTGACAGAATCCACAAAAAATTATTGCTGATAAGTGCTTGAACTTTGATCACATGGAAGTGAGAACTAAACCCATAAAACAATAAAAAATCTTGTTATTGCTATTCTTTGACAGAACATAGGCCTCCACAAAAATTTTGCTTATATTTTAAGTTTCTCCAAATTTCAGTCTCCAAATTTCTCTCCCTCAGATACTTTGTGGCAGATCATAATCTAAATGTTTGAGTTCCTTTCTTACTTTTAAAATGAGAAGGCATAATGAATATAATAACCTCTTTGGATAATTGGTAGATATTCTGCTGTAAGGTCTATCACAAGACTATAATCACATTGTGAATCAGGGCTGTGGTCTCACCTGAAGGCTTGACTAAGGAAAAATCTGCTCCCATAGCCACTGTTATTACATGGATTGAAATGTGTCCCCCCAAAATTTATAGATTGAAGCCGTAACCCACAATATGACTGTATTTGGAGACAGGGTCTTTGTGGAGATAATTAGGTTAAATGGGGTTCTAAGCATGAGGTTCTAATCCAATAGGATTGACGTCCTTATAAGTAGAAGAGACTCCAGAGCTCAAGCTTTCTCCACATATTCACAGAAGAAAGGCCATATGAGGACACCAAGAAAAGGTGACTGTCTTCAAGTCTGAAAGAGAGCCCTAACAAGAAACCAAATTTCCCAGCAGTTTGACCATAAACCTCTAGTCTCCAGAACTGTGAGAAAATAAACTTCTGCTGTTTAAGTCCTCCAGTTTATGATACCAAATATAGATTTTGGTATTGAGAAGGGGTGTGCAGCTGTAAGAAAACCTAAAAATGTGAAAGTGACTTTGGAACTGGGAAATGGGTAGAGGCTAGAAGAGTTTTCAGGTGCATGCTGTGAAGAGACTATTCACAGAAATATGGATGTTTAAAAAATTCTGGTGAGGTCTCAGCCAGAAATGAGGAACATGTTATCGGAAACAGCAGAAAAAGCAATCTTTGTTATAAAGAGGCAAAGAACATTTTGAACTGTGTCTTAGTGTGTTGCACAGTGGCTTTTGAGAATGGCAACCTTAGATATTTAGCAGAGAAGATTTCTAACCAAAGTGTTACCAGCATAGCCTGGTTTTTCCTTGCTTGTAGTAAAAGGCTAGAGGAGATAGATTAACTAACAGATTCATTAAGCAAAAAGAAATCAGCACTTGAAGATTTGGGAAATTCTTATCCCATCTATATGCAAAAAATGATAAAGTGTGTTCTGGGGAGAACACCAAGGGTATGGCTGGACAGCAACTCCATAAAGAAATTACCCATAATTTTGTTCAGTCTCTTCAGCAGGAGCCAAGAATACAGATGGAATTATACCAGCAGAGACTCTACTGGTTTGAATCAAAGAGAACAGAGCTGGGATGAAATAAAGGAAGTGCTTTCTGACTTCTGGGATACTATAGGATGGAAAATAGAGACATTCAGCTGTGAACATGATTTATCCTTCAGGAAATGGGAAGAATGACCCTGAGGTGATTATTCAGAGGTCTTCAGGGCTGTCATTCCTACTCTAGGCCTAGGAAGAAAGGCTGTTTTGTCCTCAGTTTCAGCAGGCCAGGCTGTCCCCATCCAGTGCCTCAGGGGTAGGGCTGCCACAAAGTGCCAAATGGGCCAGACTGTCACTTAGAGTTGTGGTGGTGATGCTGCCACCCTGGAGGACCTGGAGGGCAGGGGATCCAACCAAAGATAATTATTCTTGAGCCTTAAAATCTAATGGAATTTACCTTGCTAAGTTTTGGACTTACTTGGGACCTTTCACCCCTTCCTTCTTTTCTATTTCTCCCTTTTGGAATGGTTATGTATGCCCTGTGCCTGTCCTACCATTGTTTTTCAGAAGCATGTTACTTGTCTGGTTTCACAGTTTCACAGCTGGAGAGAAATTTTGCCCCAAGATGAATCACACCTTGAATCTTACCTCTACCTGATTGAGATCAGACTTTGGACTTTAGACAAGATACTTTGGGTTGTTGGAATGGGGTGAAGGTATTTTGCATGTAAGAATAACAAAAATCTGGGGAACAGAGTGTGGAATGATAAGGACTACATTGTACCCCACCTCCAAATTTATAGGTTGAAACCCTAAATGTGGCTGTAGTTGGAGATGGGGCCCTTAGGGAAGTAATTAAGATTAAATTAAGTTATAAGGGTGAAGCCCCAATGCAATTAGTATCCTTAGAAGAAAAAGAAGAGACACCAGAGAGTTCTTTCTCTCTCCACACACGTAAAGAGAAAAGTCCAGGGGAAGACAGAGAAAGGGTGTCTGTCTGCAAAGCAGGAACAGGGTCCTCACCAGAAACCAAGTTTCCTGGCACCTTAATCATGGACTTCTAGCCTCCAGAACTGTGAGAAAATAAATTTCTGTTGTTTAAGTCACCCAGTGTGTGCTATTTTCTTATGACAGCCACAGCAGAGTAAAACAGTCACTAATATGTTTTGTGGCAGAATGTTGTACCAAGGGACCTGGTTTTTGTTGTTGTTGTTGTTTTTTTGAGCATTTTTACATAACTGCTTTATATTTTTTATGTAAATGGATTTATTTTTTCTTTTAAAATATTAAGGGTGTACAAATGTTTTATGTTACATGGATCTCTTCTGTAATGGTGAATCCCAGCTATAGGTGTATGCATCATCCAAACAATCTTCATTATATCCATTAGACAGGCTTTTCCCCTCCCCTCCTCCCACCTTCCCTCTGGTTGATTTCCACTGAGTTTTATGGTCATATGTTAGTTCCAATTTAATAGTGAGTACATGTGATGTTTTGTTTTCCATTCTGGAGATACTTCACTTAGGAGAATGATTTCCAGTTCCATCCAGATAGTTGCAAAAGGTATCAATTCATCTTTTTATGGCTGAGTAGTACTCCATGGAACATATATACCACATTTTATTAATCCATTCATGAATTGATGTGCACTTGGGTTGATTCCACATCTTTGCAACTGTGAATTTTGCTGCAATAAACATTTGAGTGTAGATGTCTTTTTGATTAAAAGTCTTCTTTTTCTCTGGGCAGATACCCAATAGTGAGATTGCTGAATGGAATGGTAGGTCCACTTTTAGTTCCTTGAGGAATCTTCATACTATTTTCCATAAGGGTTGTACTAATTTGCAGTGCCACCAATAGTGTGTAAGCATTTCTTTCCTTCTGTATCTATGCCAGAATCTATTGTTTTTGGACTTTTAATTTTTGACACCTA